TGATCGCTTTAAATACATGAGGTTGGATGAGCTGAGACATGGTCAGTGCTACCGGATAGTTACGATTAATCCTCGCCCTGGCAGGGCATTTTTCATTAGCGGCCCGGCAGGGGGGGGGGGGGTAGATGCGACCCCTACCTGGCGTTTCGAAACTAAGTGTCGTAGCACTTCATAACACAGTCGATTGCTCTCAACGAGTACTCGCGATTGGTGGTAGTTTTTTTGACCCCAGGTCAATATTTGACCCAGTTATGTTAGGTCAAAGGTTAAATTTCGGGGAAAAGCTATAATTTTCCAACGTACTTAGCCAATATTGGCGAATAAAGATAGCGACATGAACCTGACCGTGTTTCTCAACGAATTAGCAACAAAATGATGTGTAGTTAACCGCATTTCAGTCATTACTGGCATGACGTAGTCCCCGGGAACACAGGAGGTCACACCCGCCGCCGGCGAGGACGGTCCTCACTCCTCATTGATCTGGATTGACCTTGTTAACCCGCGCATGACTGGGAAGGGGGGGTCTACAGAGCCCCCTCCCGTTTTTTTCGGCAATATCTTCTAAACCGGTTGACGGATCAACACGAAACTTGCGGTACCCTCCGCGGCATCAATTTGACACCTTGTAATATAATTTCAACTTTCTAGCTACCACAGTTTGGCCGGAAATGACGTCAGAGTGACGTCATGTCGGCCGACTTTGATGCAAAATATTGAATTACGGCAAACGCTCTCAAGAACTTAGTTTTAAAGCTTCATCCGATTTCTTTGCATTACAGGGTCGGCAAAAGCGAGGAGGCGGACCGGCCGGCCCACATTCTCCTTCGCTGTCCCGCTCTGATGAGGACCCGCCTACAACTCACCGGCAGTATCCATCCGGACTTGGAGGAGGTCCGGGAGACCAGAGTGGTGGCGGCCCTGGCGGCCACCGCCCGCAACTTCCAGAGCCGCCTGGCTACGCCCCGATGAGGGGCGGAGAGAGTCACAACACAACAACAACAACAACGCACCGATGCCGCGGCTCCAGCCGACACCGGCGAGTCGGCGGCGGCGGACTCCGGCAAGCCGGCGGTGGCCGGCACTGGTGACAGTCCACGGGCGGCGGATGGCGGCGACGGACCCGAGCTGGGCGCCTCAGACTCCTCGAAGTCGGAGAGGATGCACAGGGCAGGCTTTGTGCACTTCCACTCTGGGGGCCGGGTGACGTCGTCCGCGACATGTTCGTTCAGCGAAAGGAGCTTGGGATTGCCGACGTTGGCGCGGACTTTCTTCGATTCCTCCCCAAGGAAGACGTACCGGTTAAGCTGGACTATCAGCGTCCTGGGCAGCTGGCTGATTTTGGTGGTGACGCGGCACTCGTCATGGCGGCAGTGCTGACAGAGCAGCTGGCGCCCGTCAGGCCGCATGCTCAGCCGCAGCGCGTCCTGCAGCGTGGGCGCCTCTGTGTCCTGGCGGCGCGGCACGCTGACAAACCAGCATATGTTCTCTTGCTGTTTCAGCACCGTTGCATGGCAATTGGTGCACATGTAGCTCTCGACGGTCTGGTACTGAAAGTTGTCTCGCACAAGGTTATTGGTCGGCCGCCGCGCGTCAATTTCTTCCTTCATGGTGTCTAGCAGGCGCAGCAAGAACTCGTTGGCGTCCTGTATCTCGATGCCTCAGAACGCCGGATCGATGTCGGCGAACACGTCGCGAAGGTCGTTAAGATGGCTGGAGACTGATCTGCTGAGCCCCTTCTGACGGAGCACCATCAACTCCGCGACACCATGCAGTGTGCGGCAGAGGCTGTTCTCCCCTGGGCTCAGGTCGGAAATCATCGACAGCATGTAGCTCAGGAATGGAGTCAGGCCCAGCAGAGATTGAAGCGTGGCGTTTTGATAGCACGAGTTGCCGTAGTTCGGCAGACCAATGCAGAGCGGGTCGCTGGCGCTCGTGTCCGACTCAAGCCACCGGGTAGCCGTGATCAGCTGCGAGCCGGTGCTTTACGTCTGCGTCCTCCTGCAGGGTGACTGTGGCGCCTGGCTGCTCTCGCCAGGGCCGTCGGGTGGCGGCTTTCTGTCAGACGGCTGTAGTGCCTGCCCACACTCGCCAGCGCTGTCAGTCTGCGGCTTCCTGCCCTGCGGCAGCACCTGACTGCCCTCATCGAACTTGCCAGGCAGCAGTGGCGGACACACATGCTGGGTGATCTTGAAAGAAGAGCTACCGGCTTCGCTAGACTCCCCTTCACCTCGACGAAACGCGATGCTCATCTGCCGAGACGACGATGTATCACTCTCGCGCGCCGGCCGATGTACAGAGCACCACCGTGACAGAGATTGAACCGCAGGCCCTGGCACGAGCGGACCGCCATTCTGCGCCGTTACGACTCCGATAGCTACACTAGACTTGTTCTTCTCCGCTTCTTTGCCTACCATGTCTATTGGTGTCTTCGGCGAGGTATCGGAAAAATCCGTTGTCTGCAAGACGCTAGCAGCATTGCCCCTAACGATGGCAAGGGCCAGCCGCTGCCACAGCCAAGCTGTCTCTCGATGATCCCCTGATATGGAGGCCATCCTTGTCCCGAGCTCTCGAATGAATATCTTTGTGGAAGGTCCACACACTCCTGTTGTTTCAAAGGCAAGCGGTTCGAAGTGAAAGCGATGTTCAAGGCCACTGTATTTCTTGCGCTTTCTGTCCTCTGCTTCACGGGCCGCTGATCCGGGGAAAACAGCTGCTGATAGAACATGGCTCTCGGCAAACGTATTCACGCAAGTAGCGTCCCAAGCTAGACACATGCCCCTGGCGAATGGAAAGACTGTTATGCCGTCTGGGCGTTTGCTGTCTCCGCGGTCTACATCTGTTGGCTCCAAGAGAGAGAGGGGATTCCTGCCGACAACAATGCCCACTGGGTTACCTTGTTGTCCAGTGGCAGAGGTGATGATGGCTGTCCCGTAAAACAGAGGCGTAGGTTCTCTGTATGCCTGCCATAGGATGTGGTACATAGTTGGTGCGTGCTCTCGAACTTGACGAAGAAAAAGGCCCCTCGAACGCTGTTAAAGGCATTACGCAAGGAAGCAGTTAGTAGGGTGCCGTGCACAAGTCAGTTGGGACCCATTTTGCACGTGCGCACGTGCAGGGTGCCGCTTCCAGATCTCGAGAACGGCTGGGCCAATTGTGCTAAAATTTGGCACATCGCTAGAGACCGGTTAGTAGGGTGCTGTGCACAAGTCAGTTGGAGGTACCCCCTCGAAATTTCGCACGTGCAGGGCCCACCCTCTCGCTCGCTCCGTTAGTCGCCCCAAAAGGCGTTATACTGGTAGTAAACTACATAATGCAAAGAAATCGGATGAAGCTTTAAAACTAAGTTCTTGAGAGCGTTTGCCGTAATTCAATATTTTGCATCAAAGTCGGCCGACATGACGTCACTCTGACGTCATTTCCGGCCAAACTGTGGTAGCTAGAAAGTTGAAATTATATTACAAGGTGTCAAATTGATGCCGCGGAGGGTACCGCAAGTTTCGTGTTGATCCGTCAACCGGTTTAGAAGATATTGCCGAAAAAAAACGGGAGGGGGCTCTGTAGACCCCCCCCTTCCCAGTCATGCGCGGGTTAACAAGGTCAATCCAGATCAATGAGGAGTGAGGACCGTCCTCGCCGGCGGCGGGTGTGACCTCCTGTGTTCCCGGGGACTACGTCATGCCAGTAATGACTGAAATGCGGTTAACTACACATCATTTTGTTGCTAATTCGTTGAGAAACACGGTCAGGTTCATGTCGCTATCTTTATTCGCCAATATTGGCTAAGTACGTTGGAAAATTATAGCTTTTCCCCGAAATTTAACCTTTGACCTAACATAACTGGGTCAAATATTGACCTGGGGTCAAAAAAACTACCACCAATCGCGAGTGCTCGTTGAGAGCAATCGACTGTGTTATGAAGTGCTACGACACTTAGTTTCGAAACGCCAGGTAGGGGTCGCATCTACGTTAGCGGCCCCCTGCCGGGCCGCTAATGAAAAATGCCCTGCCAGGGCGAGGATTAATCGTAACTATCCGGTATCACTCACCATGTCTCAGCTCATCCAACCTCATGTATTTAAAGCGATCATCCCACCATAACCCGCGCCCTGCTGGTGGTGGTGGTGGGGGTATTTCCCTCCCTCCCTCCAGACTTTTTGATATATCTCAAAAGAGTTGTCAAGCCAATAGCTTTGAAGATACAGAAAAATGTTTAAGACATAAAAGGTATAGAATTATCAGGACTACTAAACTGTTATCTCGAAATTTTGAAAGTTATTTATTTTAGCCCCTAAAAATAAGAATAGTTTTTTAATGTAGCCAAAAATCAAAAATATTTCTCGATTGAAAAAGAAATATATGTGATAGCCCTTTCCTACTTCTATTCGCATACCAAATTTTAGATCGATACCTCTTTTTTGGCCAAGTTATAGCGAAAAAAAACTTCAAAATTGATAACGTCAAATTTTCAAACTCATTTTTCGCAATTCTAGACCACGTAGTGCAAAACAAAGACCACTATTAGACTCACCGTGACGAGTTGCTTCGAATCAGTACCCATTTTATGTAAAAATATCAACTTTGATACTTGACCTTTTTTGACCTGACATTGATCTGACCTCCACCAGGAAGTGGCCTTAATCGCTCCTGATAGTCTTATAACCAACACCATTAAGTTGGGAATGAAAAATTGGCCATAAAACATGCATGGCACAACCCTAGTAAAATTGGGTTCATGTGTTGACCCTTGGTGACCTGACCTGTGACCGGGCCTGGTATTATCAGTGACCTCTAATATTGACCCCCCCCCCATCGGTGCAAAGTTGGCCCGTACCTCCGTCGGCGCGGGGATTTATAAACATATCAGAACTACATCATCTTATTTGGCAGAAGTAGGAAAAGTTGTGATTCTGGCTCTCCTTACCTTATGACATTTTTCTCGTCATGTCGAATGTTTGGGTATTTAGTAATTATAACTGTGTTTCTGTTCTTTTCAGGAGCGCGTATCCCGGCCTCCAGCCCAGGAATGTCGTTCGAGCTGCTCGACGGAAAGGACGCAACTCCAACGTCTATGACAAGATCAACTGCTGCCTCATCTGTGGGAACTTCGTGCAACAAAAGATCAAGCGCCACCTCACGTCGGTCCACCGCAGTGACCCGCGTGTTATCTCCATATTGAACTCAGCGGACCCAGAAAGGGAGCTTTACAAGGCAATGTGTGATGGCAACCACGATCACAACAAGAAAATCCTGTCGGGGGAGCGCCAGGGCGAACTCATTGTTCTAAAGAGACCACGGACTGACACTCAGATCGAATCATTCGGACCTTGCCACGCCTGTAAAGGTTACGTTTTGAAGACGGAACTTTGGCGCCACGCGAAGAGATGCCCGTTGATGCCGACAGGGCCACCACGGGGAAACTCGCAACTGCGCCAACTCTCCTCTAGTGTGGAGGGTGGACCGGAAGAGAACGCGACGTCATCGCGTTTTATGGAAGACGTCTTCTCAACCATTAGGGATGATGAGCTGAAACAAGTTATCGCTAACGATGACCTGCTGAAGGCCCTGGGGTCCTACATGCTGACTAGCAAGGGAAAGACAGGAAGCCTGATGGCGGCCATCAAACAACGACTTCGTGCACTGGCAAAGCTCATTCTATGCCTTCGGAACAAAACTGGTAATGAAAGTCTCACGCTTGATGACATTCTCCAACCGCGTCATTTTGACAACATCATCTCGTGCGTTCAGGAAGTATGCTCGTGGGAGCTGGGTGACACGAATCAACCGCCAAGTTTCAAGACGCCAACAAGTGCCCTGAAGCTGGGCCATGCCTTGAAGAAGGCAGCGGAAGTTGGGGTTGGCCTGGCCGCAAGGGCAGAAGATGCTGAAAGAGGTAGCAGACTGGAGGACTACATACGACTCCACCAGCGCGAGTGGGGTGACAAAATCTCGCACGCCGCTCTGTCAACGCTCGATCTACGCAAGATGAACCTGCAAGATGCTCTGCCACTTACAGAAGATCTAGTCCAACTCTCCAACTCTCTGAGGGAGCAAATCGGTGAAGTGGCTACTAACCTGGCCGGGGCCCATAGCTGCAACGAAGAAACCAAACTCTACAACGAGCTTGTGACTCTAACATCCGCTTCCGTCACCGTATTCAACAAGAGAAGAGGCGGAGAATCTGCCCGCCTGCTGCTGGAGACGTATGTGAACAGGCGACGGGGCGCAGCGAACAAAGATATCGCTTCCACCCTATCTCCTTTGGAGAGAAAGCTGGCCGAGAAGATGGACCTCGTTGAAGTCCTCGGAAAGAGGAAGAGGAGAGTCCCCATCATCCTGGCGCCCTTCATGCGTAATGCAATGGACCTCATCGTGCGCATGAGGCCACGGATGTCACTGCGTGGTAACCCGTACATCTTCGCCAAAGCAAAGTCAAAGTCCTACGTTCCGGGATGGGCGGCTATCAAAAGCGCCTGTGGTACATGCGACCCGAAGAAACCTGAGCTCATAACGAGCACGAAGATCAGGAAGTACCTGGCCACGGTAACTCAGGTCCTCCAACTCGACGAACAGCAGCTGGAGTGGGTGGCGAACCATCTTGGCCACTCACTGGATGTGCACCGCCAGTTTTATCGGCTTCCGTCGGAGATCCTTCAGCTGACGAAGGTCAGCCAGCTGCTGCTGGCTGCTGAGCAGGGCTGTATCAGCTCCTACAAGAACAAGTCGCTCAACGATCTTGACGTGAAAGGTTAGTTACAGCTTTTTTATTCCAGTAAAGTAACTTAAGTTCAATGCAGTTTTAGTATTCCCTGTTTATAGTTTTGAGATGATAATAGTTTTGTTTATGCCGCCGCCGGCCCCTCCCCCCTCAGACACCTCCACGATTCCCACTTAAAAGGAAATGGCTAAGGTCTAACTAAAGGCTGGATCTGACTCGGCCTGACACATGAAAATTATTTCTTCATGACAAAACGGGATTCTGACGCTATTAGTTACATTCACGGCGAGGTTGAGGAAAGGCAGTTCCTTAAATGTTTTAGTCACAGTTATCGTTATTACAACACGTCTTCTGCCCTTTCAGATCTGATGCGCCATATCGAGTAGCTTCGAGAAGCCTCCATCAACGTGCTTCGGCCTAGGTAGAGAGCCTCGGCAGAAAACTACCGCTCACATTCCGTGACCGCTCACAGAACGACCGCTTGTACAGAAAACGACCGCTACGGCAGCTCTCATTCCGTGAAGTAGCTACCGCGCAGAAATGAGGTGGCTTTGTTAATAAAACGAACTGCTTATCATATTTTTTTATTAGTGATGCAAGCTTTGAGCTGACAACCGAGCTGGGCTTTTAACCTAGCAGTTGCTAGGGTATTCCGCCACCTGCCGTTTGCTGGGCCGTTTGTGGGGGGGGGGGGGCGTTGAACGCCCCAGCCGATAACCAATAGGCGTAACGGGTGGCAAACGTATTCCCAGAGGCCGGGATTCTGAGGCGGACGCCCTTCAGGCCCGGGCACGTGAGCAGGACGTACCGGTGGGGGGGGGGGGGGCGGTCCGCCTCCTCTCTGCATTGCGGGCATTGCGCGGCCTCGCACTGGAGGTCCCGGCACTGGGTGCAGGCGGCTGTCGGGCTCCGGCCAATTGAGTGGAGGTACTCCATCGGCCGGGTGCGGCGGGATCTGGTGCACTTCAACAGCTGGGACACGCGCACCCATCAGCTCGCGGTATATACCAGCCGGTAGCCGCTCTGCGCGTCGGGTACGGGTATGCGGGTCTGCCATTGACTGCGTGGTCGCTCTGAAACTAGAACTGAGCACTCCGACGGGTCTCTTCAGCTCGACGCGATCGTCGTCAGCGTAGATGGTCAGCGCGCCGGCTCCGCCACGGAGGACGCCACCCCTCGCCGGCCCATCAGTCCATACCCAGGTCCCGCACTAGTTCAGTGATGTCAGGTGATGGAGCGCGGTGTCCCTCTTCGAGGAGGCGGCAGCTCCCTCCGCTCCTATCTCCAGCTTGAAGGTGATTGCACAAGTCGGCAGCCAGGGTGGGGGGGGGTGGGGGGGGGGGCGCTGGGGCGGACTTGAGGATTCAGAAAAGAAGGATTCAGTGGGTCCGCGGCGGCCAGCTGGTGCAGAGGGTCCTCGGTGGGCAGGGATGCTTCCCTGGTCGGTATCCGCGCTGCCAGCGCCGTGCGGCACGCCGCGACCGGTACCACGACAGCCTCAGCTAGCCATGACCCCATGGTGGGGGCCGATCCGATGCAGCCGGTGATGATCCAAGCCGCGGCGTGCATCTCACGTTCCAGCACCTCCACGTTTTGTCCGTCGCTGGCAGCCAGGCGGCCGCTGCTGCCCTCTCCAGAGAGGGACCTGGTGGCCGGGCTTCGGTCGGTGCGGTTCACCTGTTCACTGGGCCGACTCGCTCCAGCGGCTGGCCGTTGTTTGTTGATGGGTATTCACCACGACTTCTTTTTCTGTTTGCTATTTTGCTATTCTGCCGTACAGTTACTGGTAGGCTGCAGTGGGTACATACCTACTGAATTAGGCAGTTCTGTCCTCTGCACACCACGAGGTGACCAGGCCGCATATCGATGTAGGTACCATTATAGGTAGGTGGACGGTCGGTGACAAAATATCTGAATCTAAGAAGAACCTCTTGCATAATGAAACAATGCAGCTTTTGACTCTTCAATGTCTAAGTACTGCTACCGTGACTTCTGTCTCAAAAGCGTCTGTCTGAAAAGAAGCATTAATTGTAATTCAGTACTGGCATTAAACACCAGTATAACGCCTTTTGGGGCGACTAACGGAGCGAGCGAGAGAGTGAGCCTTGCACGTGCGAAATTTCGACGGGGTACCTCCAGCTGACTTGTGCACGGCACCCTACTAACCGGTCTCTAGCGATGTGCAAAATTTGAGCACAATCGGCCCAGCCGTTCTCGAGATCTGGAAGCGGCATCCTGCACGTGCGCACGTGCAAAATGGGCCCCAACTGACTTTTGCACGGCACCCTACTAACCGGTCCCTAACTGCGTACCAAATTTGAGCGCCATCCGTCCAGCCGTTCTCGAGATCTGGAATCGACCCCTGCACGTGCGCACGTGCAGCAGCACCCCAACTCTGGCACATGGATATGCATTGCCCAGTGGGTGCCTACCTACATGCCAACTTTCAGCGCAATCGGCCAAGTAGTTACCGAGATATTGCAACAATTACAAAAGTGACACCTCTTCGTTTTGCACGTGGCACGTGCATAAGGGGTCACCCACATGCATCGGGAATAGTCCAATACTTGGTAGAAGGAATGAAGCTACCCTACAAAAATTACCGCGTGTAAATCGGTCAAGTGGTTGCTGAGATATAAGCCTCGCAAAAGCGTGACCACGGCCGGCCGGCCGGCCGGCCGATCATACTCAGAAATTTCCGTTAATCTAAGGAAAGACTACGCTCGCTTCGCTCGCTCCGTAATAAACAGCATTGTTGGGGATTCAAACCATGAAAACTACGATTAAGTTAAGAGCAAAAGGCTACTTTGGTACTCAGTCATGGATGGCCAAAAGAAAAAAGAATAAAATAGCATTACTGTTTTCGGCGATGTAGAAAGCCATCGTTTTCAAGTGATGAATCGATCATTGGTATAGGGTAGCCTGGGGCAAGACGCCCCAGATAATTTATTTTGCTATATAACTTTTGTCCCACATCACCTGGAAGGCCAAATTTGTGCTCAATGCATTCTTTGGACATTTTACTTTAGATTCCACCCCTCAAATTCATTCACTTATGATCGGACTCCCAGGTAGGAAGTGATTTGTGAAGCAACTGCAAATGAGGCATTTTGCCCCAACCCCAGGGCAAAACGCCCCACGGCCTGGGGCAAGAAGCCCCATACTCTAGATTAAAGATTAAACATGCTAGTTGACTAAACCTTAAATGAGAGGTCCGTTACACCATGGGAGGCACGGCACTGAAGCTAGCACCTTCCATCCTATCAGGTGTTCACCTATGACACTATTGTATGAGCAGGTTTTCCACCTGCCTCATAAGGCCAAATAATAAATTATTTCAATGCAAATGTTAACAGAATACTTCCTTTGCCATCCAGTTGCTGAGAAAAGTACATATAAATGCATAGAAACTTACTGTTCGCCAGCTACCGAACATTAGGAAGTGGGTAGTCCGAACAACACATGAGGTAAAACGCCCCATGGGGCTTTTTGCCCCACGACCTACTGGGGCGTTTTACCCCATCACGTAGTTCGGTCAGAGAACAGCGCCTTGCACTCCAGCAAGACATATTTTAACACGAACCAACCCGGCATCATAAGCGTTAGACAATAGTTGTTCAAAATACATAAAAGTCGTTAACCTGATGTGGACCATAAAATAACGCCATGATGCATAATCTGACAACAAAACATAAAAATCACTCGAAAAACACATTTTTGGCTATATCTCCCTAAAGAGTCGTCACAATTTCTTTCCAGTCTGCTCATATAATGATCATATAGTGCACGTTTTATAGAAGAGAGGATGCTTCCCCGGAACCTTGCCACTTCCGAGAAACATCGGTGAGGCGTTTTACCTCGGCGGGGCGACTTGCCCCGGTCTACCCTACAGTAGTTTTACGGCGACCACCGATGACACCACTCACCTAAAACTTGACCTGAAGCCTGAAGGCAGCTGGTGTGGTGCCTTGTCGCCGCATTAGATCATTCTCTGGGATTCGTCATGCATGAACCCTCTTCAAAAACTCGGAACGTAGTTGAAATGTGGCATACCAACAATGTCAAGCAATGGTCTGTAACAACATAAACCTTTCGAAACAATGACTAAAACATCTAAATATTCTATAGCATTTAAATCACGCACTTAATAAAAAAACAATAAAAATAAATCAAGGCTACACTTTCTTAATCTTCGATGCGTATCGCGAATACTCGTTTTCAATATGTTCTAGTTATCTTGGTTTTCAATGTACATTTTTATGATTTTTCTCGCAATGTCACGAGATTTCGTTAGAACCGTCTGATGCGCGGATTGTATTTAGCGCTTTTTGGAGTTTCTTCAAGATGGTGTACCATTTGTTGGTGTGGAAATTTATTTAAAACAGACGTCACGTACAAAAAATTAGCACCAAGTTTTTTTTAAATAAAATCGTTGCTTCGTTTATGCTTCCTATATCTTTATTAACATAGCCGATCTTCATTCCATTTTCCATGTCAATTTATTGCTATTACCGGGAGTCGCTCATTCACAATTATAAGAAAAAAAATGGTGCGGAATGAAATGCAGCCCCGGTAAGGTATCGCACAGAAAATCAGCCACGTTTACCACCTTACTTGAGCTAATTAACATACAATCGGAAGCACAGATACCCGGAGGCCTAGAACTATTAAAGTAGGTGAAGGCGCGTGTAATGCACGTGCATCCGAGCCCCCCCCCCCCCCCTCCGCTCTGTAAATGTGAGAGTGGTAAATATATGACGTCTGGCGATATACCAAATTCGAATTAAATCAGGCCTGTACTTCCGGAGATATAAATAAGGGGTGTGCACTGTGCACGCGCGCACGTGCAGCAACACCCCTCTTCGAAACATGGGATTGTGGTAGATCTATGACATCTGGCCACATACCAAATTTGAGCTCAATCGGGCCAGTGGTTACTGAGATATAAAGAAGGGATGCGCACGTGCGCACGTGCACTAGCACCCCCTGGTTCAGAAATGCACTAGTGGCTAATTGATGTCATCTGTCCACATACTAAATTTGAGCTCAATCGGGCCAGTGGTTACTGAGATATAAAGAAGGGGTGCGCACGTGCGCACGTGCACCAGCACCCCGTGTTTCAGAAATGCACTAGTGGCTAATGTTTGTCATCTGGCCACATACCAAATTTGAGCTCAATCGGGCCAGTGGTTATTGAGATATAAAGAAGGGGTGCGCACGTGCGCACGTGCACCAGCACCCCGTGTTTCAGAAATGCACTAGTGGCTAATGTATGTCATCTGGCCACATGCCAAATTTGAGCTAAATCGGGCCAGTGGTTACTGAGATATAAAGAAGGGGTGTGCACGTGCGCACGTGCACCAGCACCCCCTATTTGACAAATGTGCTAGTGCCGGATGTATTGTATCTGGTCACATACCAAATTTGAGCTCAATCAGTGACGCGGTTCTGGAGATATCATTAGACCAACTTTGTAAACACCCCTCACGCGCCACGCGCAGACCCTCCTCCGTGCCAGCCGATATCTCCCGGAGACATTGCATTCAATTTTTAATGCACGGGGCCATCAAACCGTGAAGACCGGACCTATCTCGGTGTTACTGATCTCGAGATATAACATCTGAAAGTTAGGGCCACTATGGTCATGGCCGAAATTTCTGCGCTCAGTCCAGGTGTACAGAGGTCTATGGTCAGGTCAAAGTAAAAATTATCAACGTGCTGGCTTGTTCACAGTTTGGGCTCTAACTAACGTCAGGTCAGGCTCATTTTCGGTTTACACACTCGTGAATATATGGGTAAGATATCCTGAGGGTACCAATGTGACCACGGGTAGCCGAAAGTGAAAGTGTACGGCCGCCCGCGTGAAAGGGAAAGTGACCACCAGATGGCAGTGGTAGTGTTGTTAGGGAGAGAGAGAGAGAGAGAGAGAGAGAGAGAGAGAGAGAGAGCATTTATTCAATAAAAAACAGATAATATAACAAATAAAGTAGGCAATCGTATATATATATATATATATATATATATATATATATATATATATATATATATATATATATATATATATATATATATATATATATATATATATATATATATATATATATATATATATATATATATATATATATATATATATATATATATATATATATATATATATATATATATATATATATATATATATATATATATATATATATATATATATATATATATATATATATTTATATATATATATATGTAAAGTAGGGTGAATATAAATAAAGTAGGGTGAGGATTGGGACTGGGATGTTGTATTATAAGCGATGGGTATGGATGATGAAGGATTGGACAGCGGTGGCAAGCACACGGCCCTCCTCACGACTCAGGTCTGTACCGTGGATAAGGATGTCGAGTTGTTTGGAGAAGGGAGAGTGGAAAAGTCAGTGCGGATGACGGGCGACACGGTGAAGTAAAGAATGTTTCGCTGAGTATGATAAAGTGGACAGGAAAGTAGGAAATGTTTTGTGTTTTCAGAATTATAGCCGCAAGTGCAGGTGAATTAGCTTGTTGTATGGAGAAAAGATGAGCATTAAGTCTTGAAGTATTCAGTCGTAGTTTTGTGTGTAAAATGTTGCCTGTTTTTGTGCCTAGGAAATAATACAGAGGTGGACGGGGTTGTGTAATCAGTTCTTTTAGGTGTTTTTTGAAAGTAAAGTAGTTATTGTTTGTGCGTAGATGTTCGGGCAATGTGTTCCAGAGGCTTGTAGAGGATGGGACGAAGGATCGGTAATAGGATGTGGTTCTGGCCAATGGTATTGTTAGAGCTGAAATATTTCGTAAAGTTCGTGTTGTGTTTTGCTGTCTTGTGTTAGGAATAATGGTCTTAATAAATTCGGGAACTATAGGATTGAATATTAATTTGTGATAAAACTGAAGTTTGTGGATTTTCCGTCTGTCGGTTAAAGAAGTCCATCCTAGTTCTCGTCGCAGTCCGTTAGTCGATGTCCGAAGTCCAGTCCCAGTGATCAGTCGTGCTGCTCTGTTTTGTGCTTTTTCTAGTCGCATGCCGTCAGTCGTTGTGATGTGTCCGTCGTAAGTGATGTCACAATAGTCGAGGAAAGGTTGAACGTAAGTAATATAGAGAGATAGAAGCATTCCTTTAGGTATGTGTTTTGCTATTGGGTATAAAGGGCCCATAGAACGATTAAATTTTAGAAGGACGTCATTAATGTGTGTGTGAAAGCGTAGATCTGCGGATAGTGTGAGGCCGAGATGTTTATGGTCATTTACTATTGGAATGGGTTTACCGCCGAAAGTAAAGGTTGGTCGATTAGTTTGTTGTCGATGTGAGAAAGTTTGTTGTGTGGTTTTCGTTGCATTGAATGTTATAGCCCATGTTTGTCCGTAGTTGTGTATGATGTCTAGGTCTTTCTGTAGTGTCATTTGTGCGTCGTGAAAGTTGTCAGTTGGAGAGTAAAACGAGTATAAAGAGCAGTCATCGGCATAAAAAAGCATTTTGTTTGTGGTTTTGTCACATAGTCCGCACGGTATATAGAGAACTAGGTAAAACCGGTTTGCCGCCACAGCACTACCTAAGGTATTTTGACCACTTTCTTCAGCTGGCCATTAAGACCCAAAAACGAAAAATAGGCGACATATTTGGGCCATATTAATTATGCATCTATTAATTTGAAGTGCATTAGCAGAGGGGAGCCGACAAGAAAATCTGTATGCTAATAAAGGAAATAAAATCAAGCCATTCGCACCATTTTTCCAAAGCAATTATTTCAAGTTATAGCCGTTTGTTACACAAATCTCTTCTTTTCTGTTTTCAAATATTAAAATTAATAGTAAATCCACAAAAATATCTACAAATAGTGCTTTCTAGAATTTCGAGCATATCCATGGATCGTGACCCGTTTTGAGTCGAGAAGAGGCAATGTTCCAGGACAAATATTGGGTAAATTATCATGTATTGGTCAATAAATGTGGTATATTCAGGCTCAGAAAAGATTTTCCTATAACATGAGCTACAATTCATCACAGTATATGCCCTGAATTCTAATATATTCAAAGAAGTGTAAATTAGAGTTGCAGTTCTACACGGCTCCCGCAGCACACTTCACACACGATATCTCAAAAACGAAAGAGAGTCGCGGTCTATTTAAAACGTCAAAAACGCAGAACTCATTTTCATATAAGCATGTGATTTCTTTAAAAGAGAATCGTACGGTAAGACATTGAATTTTGCTCCCAAATATGAAACTTTGCATTTGTCTGTCACTTAATTTTGAACAAAACGGACATTTTGTATAGATCTTCCGCTAGTTGCTACCAAAATTATACCCTATCCGACGGAGAAACTATTTTTCTTTTTTATCTGTGCATGATTATGGGCATAAATAATCGACAGACCAGAAATTTTGCGTCTAAGGTAAGTCACCATTGCATTTGCAGAAAGTGACGCTTTCACCTTCCCTGGATGATTTCTCAAAAACAAGAGGGAGTCGCGATCTATTTAAAGCTGAAAAATGTACAGAATTGATTATTCTATCGATGGTGAGAATAACAAAGACCAAAGCATACGGTAAGACACCTCATTTTGACCTCAAAGCCATAAAAATGTTTTTTAATGTGAGGTACGTCGAATTGCAATGGCGTAATTTTATGTTCGACGTTCCTGCTAATGATGCATCCGCTTTAATACTTCTGCGTTTGTAGGCGTGATTCGATGTTTGATTGGTCCAGAGCAGCTCAGATTCGGAGCAACAACAGCTTGACAAACATTTTTCGTCTTTGTTGTGTATTGTCACGCATTGTAGTGTCATGGATGGAGGTTCTTTCATGGTATTGTAATAGGTACATACACTTGGTTTAAATTTAATTTGATTTGATAAATTTGAGCCAATTCTTAGTGTTATGGGAGTTGTCTTGCAAGTTCCCACAAGCCCAAATATATTTTTTTTTTTCAGTGAAAAGTAACACTATGAAAAAGTTGATGCTGGATGGTTTAAGAAAATGCCTTATGGTCAAAGTCGTGTGTTCCTTACATCAAGCACTCAAAGCATCACTGTGAAGAGACATCAGACAAGGGTCAAGGTGAGGTGTTTGTGTGGAAACGTAAATTATATTTTTTCGTAATTTGCTGGCAAAGCTAGACAAAAAATTGATATCCATATCCACTTCTTCTTCTTCGTGGATTAGGGCGCGTAGCCATCAGGCTCAAGCGCCCAACAATATCCATATCCATGCTAACAGTGGTTGTCAATATGTGGATAACAGTGGTTCTGGGCGGGCATGGGCATGGACGACTACTCTTCATCCAACGACTACTTGGTATACATTGCCTGGGACGGGCGTTGCCAGCAGCTTTTTTTGTAGGTACGCACAAGGTTGATGTATTGTTAGGTTGGGGTCCATATGCATGTACTATTTCTGTTTCATTATCTATCATGCTCGGATAAGTTGATGTCACTTGTGACCAAGGCTATATAAACCAGGTAGAACGCTCCGGGAAAAAAGTTGGAAACAATAAATTAGTTGCGGCATTCCCTGATGACGCGAATGTGGGTCAGCGGCCGGCGGCCGGCGGCCGCTAACACTGTATGAGGATGAATGCACGGAACTTTTGCTTGTTGGAGATTGCGCTAGGCAGTTTAAATGTTAATGTTAGGATATGTTTCGAAAGTAAATTGAACGACGCTTCGAACGCCGTCAATGAATTTGCGATACGACGACTATTTGTTTAGTTAAAGCCGGCGAACTTTTACCTTCCGACCGCGCGGGGAGGCGATATGGTGCCACACTGACGGTTTTTTACGACAGCTCAAAATTCTTTTGAGCTAAAGAGCTGAAATTTGACATGTCCAATCTTCTGATCAAGCTGGATCTTCTGGTATAAGTCGCATATTTAAGTTACGTCAGGTTGTTGACCTATGTTGTCGCTCGTGAGCCTCTACACAGTCCAAAAACAACACAATTTCTGAACACTCAGTGCCAAGAAATCCTTCACAGAAAGATGACACTTGGCGGAAAGAATGGCTGTCGGTTTCTTACCGTTCGTATGTGTCGTGTTTTCACAAGAGTTTAGTAAGGTCAGGTCCCTCACGTCACCTCCCCTCATAACTCAATAGGACTAGGTTTACTATCATAGAAGCGTTTATCAATCGCCGGAAATCTTAGCCAATCCCACTGGACACTGGATCCATACCCACATGGGGCCCTCCTGACTGGCCACCCCCTCTGAAATCCACAATAACATTGGGCTGCGGCCATGGTTATGTATTAATGCTTTTCACAAACAGAAATACAACAACTTCAACCAGCACAATGCACGCCGCCACAACAGTCCGACCAACGTCCCTGATATCGACTAGCACTCGGCCGGATGCACATATGCGGAGCCAATCAGTACGAATGTGACCTGCAGCTTACAATTGCTGTGTCGCATGGCGCATGACACAGGACGATTCCTAGCAGCTGTCGGCTGGAGTGGAGAAACAGCACGTTGCGACACACCGGCGCACCGCGCCGGCGACAGAGCTCAGCAGGGCTGGTTGGAGGCTGGAGCCGGAGGTAAGGGCGGACACAGGCACAGACATTGCAGGACAAATAACAGGACGTCAGTTAGGGATATAATTCAAGACGAATGATTCAAGACGGACTGAAATAATGCACATTTTGCTCACTTGGATACCAACTTCAAGCTTGACGTTTATAGCACCATGGAAACAATGGCCACACAGGAAAGAAACAAAAGATTGGGTGTTTTTAACTCAAAGTAAATAGAGGCTGCATATGATGGAACAGCCCGAAGTGCAGACAAGCACATATTTTTCGTAATAGCTATCAGTTGCCCTGTCCTACTCCTCTTCTCCCTTCATCTGTCATCAACTACTGGACACATAGATGAGGAAGCACCAATGTCAATAACAAAAGCTTGCAAAGTAGTTTTATGAAGCCAAGGGAAATATGCCTACACAGCCTACATCATGCATGTAAATTCAAAATTACACATGCATGACAAAGGAAGCTTATGTAAAGAGAAGAGTTGGCAAAAACATTTCATAGTTAAAATTATTCAAAACTGCACACAGGGCAAACATAAAAGCAGCAAGTGTGCTGTTCTGTTATGCTAAGAAACAGTCCAAAACAAAATACATCTTTTCATGTTTGAACTGGTTGTTCTTCTATGCCACTTCATCCATATCTTGATTACAGATGGGCTGTTGCTGTAGGCTGATGAAGTGATACTTGATTGCCTTTGTGCGAGTTTCAGTTGCAGTCTCCTAGGTACTGCACTGGAAAGCAGATTGAATTGAATGCCTCTGAAAGATAGGAATACAGGCAAAGTTAGCTGTAGTAGTGTCAATGAAAATGGACATGACATTTTTGTCCTTTGACATACATTTGTTGAAGTACAAAAAGGTACAAAATAAATTGGTTTGTTTCAAGACACTCACACTGCACAAAGCCGCACAGACATTACACAGGGATATGAAATTGGTACACATAAAACTTGATGATTAAAAAGGTCAAAACTCGCAATGATAGTTGAAGTAAAAGTTACAATCACAATCATTTGATTTAAAATAACTTGACGTAAGTCACAAGACGCAACGCTCCTATTCACTTAAGAAAGGTTTTTATGCTTTCATTATCCTCCACATATCAACCAACTTGATACCAGGCTGTGAAATAGTGTGTACATAACCCCATGTTGCCATTTTATTAGAGCAAGTGGGGTTACAACAACAATGCTAATGTCAAACCCACATCTGCAACCCGTACTGCAGTTTCAATCACCTTACAAGCACACCTTCTGGCAGTTTGATAGGCAGAATGGTCATTACTACTTTCTCCTCATATTCAACACATATTCCCTTTATACAGATACAGTTTAGACCTGGTTATGGCAAGCATTTTCGAGAAAAGATATGATTCAAGTCCAAGACAAAGGTCGAGAGAAACAACACCAACATAAAACACCGACTATGTAGCACTAATACTGTCAAATTCATAAAAATATATACATGAGTCGATCAGAAATTCACTGTAGATTTCGAAAATGGTGTCGAATGCCACTCAAATACCCCCATTCGCATGTACGAAGCAATAAAACACTGACCTTCAATTCCGCGTGCCATTCTCCATAGGCCACTGTGTATTAAATAACGCGTTCACTGATAGCAAAAAATGAGACCCACATATGACGCGTTTGCTACCAGCCAATCAGCGCTCGATATGCCGAACGCTGATTGGTGGAGAGGGCCGCCGTTAGCAGTCCATTATACGTTGTTTTCCTTGAACATGTGCGTGAGCGCTGATGCTGCTCACGGGTTGTTGCCATTTTTCGTAATGCTGAAGGCACGGGAGCGAACCCCCCTGCTTGTGACCAAGGTATTTGGGTATGAGTAGAGCAGACATTACAGAAATGTTTTCCAACCAAGGCGAGGTGCTTTACCCAGAGAGTCTTCTTTTTAACACCAAACCAAACCTTACCTGACGTAAACTAACCTACAAGTCACCTACAACCTAAAATCATGCAACCTACAAACCTACAGCTGTGCCTCTCCTTGGTTGGAAACCCTTTGTAGTTCATTTGACATCTGCTCTACTAATGCCATTAATTTTTATTTGTAACCTAACCAAACCAAGCCTAATATAATCCAAACCTTGCTCATAACTGTGATAAGTTGCAGTACTAACATCACTTTGATTTTCCTCAGCCCATTACATCATCAAGAGGGAGACCGCACTGACAGGGGTCCAAGATCCATCTCAGGCCCTACTGTAGGTAAGTGTGGACGTCCTGACCTGTAGCCAGAAGCACAGCCACTGTAGCACAGCAGCTACTTCCCTATCATCCTTCCAGCTCTGCAATGGTCTGCATTTCTGCAATGGTCTCAACAGGCCTAACTGAACACAGAAGCATTTCACTTACTAACAGTTTAAGACTAATATTATTCTAAAAATGGTTGTAAAGCAATGTAGAGTGAAATAGATATATGGTGTCTATGAATAGAATTGGGTGTGCTGAGACTTTTACTTCATGAACTTGAACAATGAACACTAGAGTAACTAATTCAACTATTTGTTGTTATTCAGACTGCCCGCCAGCAGACGGAGGCCCACCGACGGACGTCGGCTCAATGGCCAACAGTGGCCCGCCGGCCGGCTGACGGTGGCTCGCCGACCGACGCCGGCCCGTCGGCCGACCACGGCCCACCAGTTGATGGTGGCCCGCCAGCTGACGGAGGTCCGCCGGCCATTCGTAGCACGCCCGCCGACGGCAGCTCGACGCACATCCTGGCCTTAACTATTATAGCTATGTCACCCCCAAGATTAGTTCGCCCCCCCCCCCCCAAGTCCCTAGGTGAGTGGCTGGAGAGTGGAGAGAACTTTGTGTGTTGCCGGGAGGGGATGTCTGCTAATGCAGGTGCCGTTGCAGGGGTCGTGACGTATGATGGGTCTCAGACTCGGGCTTCGACTTTTGAGTGAGAAACGGATAAACATTGCAATTATTGCAATTATGGCGAAGTGTGCGACAGGAAACGCTATGAGCTATGAGTTATCGTCGCCGTGGCGGAAATTTGAGGACCGTCGCAACCTGTGACGTCGCCATGACTGCTAATTGACGGTCGCCTTGACTCGTGTGTAACGGTCACTGTGCCTGGTATGTGACGGTCGCCATGACTGTTTATATAACGGCCTCCGTGACTGTTAATAAAACGGCCGTCGCGACTGAAACGTGACGGTCGTCGTGAGATCTGACGTGTCGCGACTCGCTGTGTCACACTCACAGGTCACCAGTCGCGGGCGCTCCATCTGACGGTGTCGTCCGACGGCTCCACGAGAGCGCCGCGGAAACCATCCGACCCCGAAAATGCTGCTAGCCGTACACGAACAAAAGGCGCCAAGCACCTAGGACCAGCGCCCTGCTCCGAGGCGGTGTCCAAAGAAGGTCGCACAGTGCACTTGCTGTGCGAAGGTGTAGTGCGCGCTGACTGATAGGAAAAACTGACGGTTGGTTATTAGATCTCAGTATGGAACTCAAGATGGTCGGAGCCGACCTGGCTCGGTGGATGGTGTGCCAGGGTTAATTAAGTGTCAAAATGAGTGAGACGCTCAGATATCTGAAGGATATGTCGATACGAGTCCCGGCTTCGACTCCCCGTCCCAAAACGGTGTTGGCTATGATTGGATTTTGGTATTTTTACGGACTCCCCCTCCCCCCCCCCCCCCCACCCCCACACGCAATTTGTGCTATGTAATAGGACGATAATATGCCGTGGTCTCATTCTGGCTCGATATCGTAATAGGCACTTAATTGGACAGATGTTGGTGGATGTAAATGGCAGGTTTAGCTAGCGCGATATTAGTAATCGTGGGTGCACTAGCTGCAATCAGTCGCGCGCTTCTTGCAGAGCACCTGTGAGCAATAAAATTATATGAAAGGGCAGTTTGTCGTGAAACCTGTGTACTTTTGGATTAAGTTATCAGAACATAAATGTATTTTTGATGTCCACTGCAGCTCTGGAACAGAAACATGGAGATCGGCTGTTCGCTGTAGCAGGGGCCAAAAAAATCCAAGGTGATATGTGATTTTAAGTGAATATAGGTATCTCACTGTATTTTCAATCGTATTTTAACAAAACAAATGCGTCGACTGCTGATTACCCTCGGCTCCTAACAACAACGCTTGCAACACTGGAAAGAACATAGACAATAACTAGGTACCCTTGCGACCGACTGGTGTGACCCGAGACTGTCTCTCTCACTGTTGCTGCTGGCGCACATACGACAACACGGCCGAATGGCTACGATCGAGAGCACGAAACGATGCTGGTGAATGACGGACCAGCGAAAATAGATCTCCCGTCTACGCGCGGAACAACGCTGATTGGCGCGGCTCAGACTCCATTGGCTCAACAGAGTTCAGACTGTTGGCGGTTGTTGCCATTGGCGGCGGAACGGGGAGGGCACCGGGGCACCGTGCCCCCCTTTGATTTTGGCATTTTAACATTAGCCCTACCGGCGTTGCATGGTCATGGAAATAATGGGACTAAAAGTCGGCAGTGCCCCCCCTTAATTGGAGATGTTCCACCGCTACTGGTTGTTGCTCCTCCCTCCCCTCCCCGAGAGGGCGTAGCCAAGTAGCTTAGTTGTGCTCGCAGTGAGCGGCCGTACCACGCAGTCGTCTTTTTGCATCTATGTAACCGTTGAGTGGATGGCATCCAGACGAGCTAGGCGTCGGCTTCGCCCTTCCAGCGGCCGGGCAGCGCAGGTGGACGGCCGCGGATTGTCCCCCTCCGATCTCGGCGCATTCGGCAGAGTGCGGCCGTCGGCGTCGACACTCCACGGAGTTGCATAGCGTCGGCCGTCGATAGGCCTTATGGTGTCGCTGTTGTAACAAAAACGTAAGTAGAGGTTTGAAACAAGATATAATGTTATTTTTTCTAGCGTTGTTACACATAGCTGGTATTGGCCGGTCATTAAACACATCATATCGCCAAAGACAGCTTTATGTGCTGGTTACGATATGCGTGCTTCGATTGCGGCAGCAATCATCGAAGAAATATATGATTTATGCACATTATATATAAGTATTTAAATACATAAAAAGAAATATATGTTACAGGGAGTATGCGATTTCAGTTAGTTTGCAACGACCCTAGGGTGGTTGTAACCTCCCTGAACGATCAGTTTGTTTGCAACGACCCTAGGGACGTTACAAAATAACTGCTCGTTCCGGGACGTTGTAACGAAACTAGGGTCGTTGCAACCTCCCTAGTTAGTATGCAACGAACCTAGGGTTGTTACAAAATAACTAGGGAGTTTAAGAATTCATCGAGTCTCGTTTCACAGGAGGGCCGTCAACAATCTTGTCCAATGAAAATCGAAATGAATGTCCAAAAATAAAAGAAAAGGAGAACCAAATTTGAACATTCAGCTCAGAAGTATATGCGGTGCCCGGGACAAAGCACGTAACTGCTGTGATAATTTTGGCTGCATTATATCGTCAGCATATGCTTACATGTAGAAAATATAGTTACTGGGGTAGGTGTGATGGATATCCGTCGCTATCCGTGTGCGGGTTATCCCTCACACTTTTAGGGGTGCGGGTCGGATAAAACCCATCGTTTTTTCGCTATTATCTCGCGCTAAAAGCGGCCGATCGTGACGAAACTTTGAGTGTCCTCGAACTTATCTACGTTACTGGTTACACATTCCCTATACAGTTCATGATCCTAAAACCAATGACCTTTGATCTGATTTCTGAGACCATGGCAGACCGAAATGATTTGCCGTTTATGCTAGCGCACATAAAATTGCGTTTCCAGACTTCTATTGTGATTACATATAAACGTGCCAACATGTGAACCATGATGGTTGTCCCATGCATCATGATGGGTTTCAAGTTGACTTGTCAGTTGTCGGCCTGCGGCCAGGTCAAGGTCATTGACGTTTGGTGACTTCGGGTAACTGTTTCAAATTTTACGATTTTAAGGAATTTTTTAGCTTATTTCAAATCCAGCATTCGTTGATACATTTGAGAAGTACGTATAGTTGTGGTGCCAATGCAACTTGCTACGAAGCTGTCGCTGGTGGGTTTAGGTACACCTGCTATAAACAGGTGGTGTGGGTGGGACGCCGTATATACTTGACCCAAACTTACCCAACCCAGCCTAGCTTAATCCTCGCCCCCCCCTAGTTTTTTTTCGCGATAGCTCCGAACACACCAGCAACAGAGAGCTGAAATTAGGCATACCTGACCTTTGATTCAAGCCGGATCTTGTTACACCAACCAGATTTTCAGGTCAGGTCAGGTTACTGACCGACGTCATAAGTGAACGGTCCTCAGATGCCGCAACTTCGCAACGCCCTTAGTCCCAGAGAAGCTTTTACAGGGGGATGAAACTTACAGTACGAGCATCTTCTAGAAGTCTCACAACTTGTACCTCTAGGATTTTTCCTAAAGATCACATGAGGTCAGGTCGGTCACGTGACCTCACCACTAAAGTCAATTGAGAAAAATGAAAACTGCTATTCTGGCGCCGGGAACGATCTCAAACTATCTCAAGCACACGGATCGCGATTTCATGCACTCCTTGCAAGGTAAGATGCTTCAATTTTGCATGTTTGACGTTACATGACGTCATTTATGACGTCACTAGGGTCATACGAGCTTTTCGTCAATAACTCCCGCTCAAACTGAGCTAGCGAGTCGGTCAAGCCACCAATGGACTGAGGAAGACCTGCCGAATCGAATAATATGCAACATGACCTCCTTTGACCTGCTATTTTTGACAACGATGAAGCCGATTTCGCTCCTCAGCGAGGAAATCACGATTTTGGAAAGATAAGCACTGATTTTCGAAAAGAAGTGCTGCCACCTGGTGCAAGAAGAAGAAGCCAGCTTTAATATGCCCGTTGTTTGCGTGGTAGTTTGATTTGTGGCCTGAAGTTGGAACTTAAAATTGAAGCATCCGAAGATGATCGATATTGATCGAAAACATGATGTTGATGAAAAAAATATGTTAAGTTGAGAGAGGAGGTCATTTTGTCCAGATGCGGTGGTTTTAATTCATGCAATTAATTATTTTTGCTAATTGACGGCCGCGCATCATCCGTCATTACATGGCAATCGTCATAAACAAAAATAATTTCAAGAAGTAAACCACCGCATCTGGATGAAATCGCCTCCTTTTTCAACTTAAAGGGACCCTCCCACCTTCAAAAAAGTTAATGAATTGGCATGAAAGTGATGTCCCTTGGTTCAGAAAGAGCGAAAACGAATATCTACCAAATTTCACCGAAAAATATTCACTGGTTTTCAAGATATTAGGCTTTTACTTTTGTTTACTTTTTGGGATCTCCCCTGTTACTAGCGACTTTATTTGGAAGCAATAATTTGGCAGCCTTAAAGTGCGGCAGACGTTGCGCGCAAAGCAGCGTATACCACCACGTGTTAACTCATTAACGACGATAATTCCGTGGGCAAATTTCGGCGGTTTTTCTAAATGTCCTATGTTTCTATATGCACTAGAAATGCACATACGCTGTATTGAAAAATAAAAACATTTCTAACATATATTTCTGGACTGGCAACTATAGTTGCCACTCGGCGTTGACGTAGTCAAAAATTACGGCTATCGTAACTTTTCATTAAACAAATACGAATCGCCGCGATGCATTTATTCTATGTATGTTCTAACTTCTCTTCCACGAGCCTATAATCAATTTCCAATCAGAAAAAGGTGGTTATGGAACTTAAATATAAACTTCTGATAATATAATTACGTCTAAGTAGAGGAATCGGCACTATGCCCTATAGTATAAGCCTGTAGCATGTGTCCAAAGCAGCTAGTTCTTGGTATCCAGGAAACACAATTTATTTACCCATGCAAGAAGTGCTTTTCTATACCAAAGCAGATGCTCTTTACCAGTCTTTCTTAACCATTTATCTTGACTTGCATAGATAGAATCCACTCGGAAACAATTCAACAAAGAATGCATGTTACCTAATACATAGTTCTAGTTTCTCTTTTACATGGTAGTGATGGTAGGTAGACCGTCTTATCACAAAACTTTCTACCGAGTATGATACATTTGCATAAGCTCCGGGTGCGAAGCAACTCCACTCTTCCTGCCTATTTGTGACCATGCAGATTACAGGCCTACCAGAGCAGTGAAATTGTATAGTACCTATATTGCTGATTCCCGCGTACGTACTTATGTTGCCCTTGGCTAACCAGTAAATCCGTTCGCTTTTAGACTATTTGGACGGGAGTCTGAACGAATTGGATCCCTGTCATGATCATGAATCGAGTTTAGACTTTAGAACACACTGGCGGTTGTACATCAGAATAAGAAGGGGATATGTCATGGCACAGTTTGCGTTATAGGTGCCACGCGCTTTCCATTGACGAGTAAAAGTGCTGTACAAGGTGACCACCACTACTCTCACTTGAAGGCATTCCACGAGTCATAAAGATAAAGAGTTTAATTTCACTTTCATCTGGTTTAGGACGACTGAGCAGGCCCACATTTTCTAACACCTACTTCCCAATTTCCTCATTTCGCGCGCAAAAACCAAAGCACAAAGCCGCCTCCACCGTCTCACACAGTTGAATCACCAGCACCTGCTGTGAAGTTCAAAGAGTAAGCAGCTGCCAGCTTCATCGGAATCAATTCGGTGTCTCGACTGTGTCAAGGTCATAATCGTCGTCAATGGGAGCTCAGTGGAGGAGGTGGAGGAGCTTTCGTCTATGAGCTCCTGTTTGGAAACGTCGTACAGCGTCTTTACGGTGCTTAAAAATTTAATTTGTTGATGAAAACAGGCGTAATAGCTACGTCCCCCTCCAAATCGAAACACGAGCTGATCACACGATTCAGCATCATGACACGGTGCCTGCAGGTGAACATGCCTGAGTTTGGTTATATTGCAAGTGGCAAGACTAATTGAACGCTACGAAAAACCAACAAAGCATATAGAAAACCAACAAAGTATAGCCTTCGACATAGAAAGCGAGAGCGACTCTCGTTTATCCAGAAAGGTGATATCAGACGCAACAGGAGACCTGCAAAAGATTTGCAAATTCCCATAAAATTCCCGGATGTTGCTTCCTTATAAATGT